TTCCTCCTTCCATTTGGCCTTTTTATTCTGGGCCCTTGCCCCAGAGGCAGACAGACCTTTATTTCTTTGGTGTGTGTTTTTGCATCACCCGTGTGACATCTATGTTTGTAAGGCAACTTCAGCTTGGCTTACATTTTCAATCATGCATAGGATTTACATGATAACAAAATCTCCTGTCTGGGAATGTGAGACAGATTCCTGTAGTCATTGCATTCATCACTCCCAGGGATTTATTCAATCATGCCCTCACTGAGTAATGTTTATGTGTGAGGTACTAAGGACAAGGAGATAGAAGACATAATTCTGCTTGGAAGGAGCTCATGGTCTAGTGAGAGACACAGTGACCAAAGTAGATAATCTCAATAGAATGTGGCAAGTGTTGCGCCAGAGGCCAGGAAGGGATGCTGTTCCAGGAGGGTCTCTGAGCCAGCCTGGGAGGGTCGGGGATGGCTTCTCAGTCTCAGTGGTAATTAGGACAGTGCAAATTTGAGCTTTCAACTGAAAACTGAATTTGGAAAACTTTTACTTTTACTCTGAGCTTGAAAGTTTCTCAATACTTAAAGAGTTTTCTGATAGGATCAGTGGCATTATTTATAAATGGAATTTTACAATACTGTAAATGAAAAGTGTTAACATTGGGAAGATTTGCATAACTCAGTGTAATATTTTCCAACGTATTATGTTATAAAATCATGCATGGATAAAATAATACACCCAAAATGCAAGATAGGCAATGGATTTAATATAATGGAGTATAAAATGTTCAATTACCTGGTTTCAAATTCTTTTCTGCAACTCACCTTTATGAAAACTAATGTGTAGAGTTTTGGAGTTACAGTGAAATACAAATATCCAAAATTATTTGAAAAAATTGGAACATATTCCTCCTTTTCCAGCTATATAACTATGTGAAGCTGGATTTTCTTTCCATACCTCAACCAAAACAACATATTGCAAAGGAATGAATACAGAAGCAGACAGGAGAATCCTGCTGTCTTTATTGAGTCGGATATTAAAGAAATTTCAAAATATATAAAACAATGCCTCTATTTTCTCATTTTTTTCTCTTTTGGAAAATATAGCTATTTTTCATAAAATGTATTATTTACTTTAACATGTAATTATTACTTTACAGTTAAGTAATTAATATTTAAAATTTTTCTCAGTTTCAGTTTCTAATGTGGAAAATATTGATAGCTATACTCCACATAAACTAAGCTCTTTGGAGTCCTTAGTAAATTTTTGTTTGTTTGTTTTTGAGACGGAGTCTCACTCTCACCCAGGCTGGAGGGTAATGGCATGGTGTCGACTCACTGCAATCTCCGCCTCCCGGGTTCAAGCGATTCTCCTGCCTCAGCCTCCTGAGTAACTGGGACTACAGAGGCCTGCCACCACACTCAGCTAATTTTTGTATTTTTAGTAGAGGTGGGGTTTCACTATAATGGCCAGGCTGTTCTCGAACTCCTGATCTCGTGATCTGCCCGCCTTGGCCTCCCAAAGTGCTGGGATTATAGGCGTGAGCCACTGCACCTGGCCTAGTATTTTTTAATAATGTAAAGAGGCCCTGGAATCAAAAAATGTGAGAACCACTGGTCTAGACAGTCCTCTCTTAGATTCTATGACTTGGTCAAACTACTGCTCTGATCTTTGTGGGTGCAATGCATGAAGCCAGTGCAGAACACTCTATTCTGTTTCCTTCTCTAAACTTGGAGAAAATACATTTTGATTTTTGCAAATAAAAGTCTTTTTTAGTAAGTATCGATGATCACTTTCATGTACTTACCCTTCCCCACATGAGAACTCTGCTTCTGCCAATTGTCAAATACAGAATTTCTGAACTGCCTTGAGGTTACTCTCCCATCCTAATTGACTTTACTTCTCTATCTTTGAGAAAGTCTCGTGTATCCCCATGTTGTTTTCTTGCCAACCAAAAGCTGTTCAGGTATTTACTGAGTGCGTCCTCTGTATCTGGCATTTTTCTAGGGAGTGGGGATACAGTGATAATGAGGAAGATGCTCTCCTCACTCTTGTGGAGTTTGTAGTCTAGCAGGAGAATATCATGGACGATGTTTAATCGAACCCTTACTCTATGTCAGGTTCTGAGCATTTTACATGTGGCATCTCCATTTCATTATTAAAGTTGTCCTAAATTAATACAAATATCCCCATTTTCCTTTTTTTTTTTTTTTTTTTTTTTTGAGATGGAGTCTAGCTCTGTCGCCCAGGCTGGAGCGCAGTGGTGCGATCTCAGCTCACTGCAACCTCTGCCTTCTGGGTTCAAGCAATTCTACCTCAGCCTCCTGAGTAGCTGGGATTACAGGCACGTGCCACCATGCCTGGCTCTGGATAATTTTTGTATTTTTAGTAGAGATGGGGTTTCTCCAAGTTGGTCAGGCTGGTCTCGAACTCCTGACCTCAGGCAATCCACTCGCCTTGGCCTCCCAAAGTGCTGGGATTACAGGCGTGGGCCACCAGGCCCAACCCTATCCCCATTTTCTATAGAAGGAAACTGAGACCCAGAGAAATTAGGAAGTGTGTCCATACTCACTACAGTGAATACCCTTGGCACCCCTGTCAAGTGCCCATGTGGTCATGATCACCAGTGCTCTGCACCCATTCCCCAGTTCCACGTGCCTTGCTGCCAAGTGTTTATGGTTGGAAAATTCTTCAAAGGCTTGCCTGTGGGCTGCCATGGTCGCCTCACCTGTACCCAAGCATCCAGGAGTTGATTACTGAACTTCCATCCACTAGCTGATGACCAAATGGTGAACAGAAGATCAGCTTCTTTGCCTCTGGATGAATTCTGGGGTGCAATTTACACTTCTGAGCTCCCTGAGAATCAGGTTGGGACTGGCCTTCAACCGAAATCACACGTCTTTACTTCTCCTTCTGTAGTGGGTTTCTCAAACATTTACCACTTTCCCTGTGGAGTTCTTTGATGATGAATCACTTGAATCTTTGCCTTGGGGTCTGCTTCTTAGAGACTCTGAAGACTGTCATCCACCTAAGTGACAGAAGTCAGGATTTGAACCCAAGGTGGCCTGACTTGAGCACAGGTGCTTTTAGCTAGCACACTGGACTGTGTGCTCTCAGATTACTGGTGTGGGCCTGTTAACAGGTTAGTTCATCCAGTTGCAGAGTCTACAAAACTATGCTTCTTATTTTACCACACATTAAAGCATCTCTTTCTACCATGTGTATGGCAGATGCACCTGACAGCAACAACTTAAGCAAGCCCAGAGAATGACCATATGATCTAGGAAGATTTTTGTTTCAGTTTCAAGCTAAGGAATATGGGAGTGGCCAACCTGGAGATTCACTCCTTCTTTATGAGGAATATCTGAAATCCTGGCCCATTCCTTGAAAAAAAGGTCATGTAGGGAGAGGAAGGCCCTTAGTTTTGGGTTAAATGGAGATTGCTAGGTGGAGGTTGCTAAGCCAAAATGCTGTATACACTGCATACTTTTTACAAATGATAGTAGGTCTTCTTGCCTAGTCCACTGTCCCTGGACCACCCGAGAGGTAAGTCTTCAATAAAGCCTGTATTCTGTTCGTTGGCTCTAGGTCTTTTCTTTGGCCTCTCAGACACAGTGCCATCCCTACAGAAGCCAATAGGGGTCCAGCAGACACCTTGAGAATGTATGTTCTTCACCCCTTTGGAAAAAATCCTTTGCAGAGGGGAAAGTAACACTCCGCTAGGTCTTCATGCTTATTTAAATCCTATCACATTAATATAACTGTGTGTTATAGGCACATGCCAGCTTCCCTCCACCTCTCACACCAAATAAAAACAAATGCAATATTGATAAACTTTTCTTTCCCATGGCCCATGGTGGGTATAGATGGAGAAATAGTAGGTTGACAATAACATTCCATGGATTCCTTCCGCTGAATCAGCAGTAGCAGCTAGAATTTCATAAGCTGTCACCACTTCAAGAGAGGAGAAGCAGTAGCCTGGTGTGCGTGTGTTCGTCACACCCACACTGTGCTGAGCTCTGACTTCTGGGCAGTGTTGAATGCATAGGCTGTTACTCCCCAAACCCCTCACCACTCCTGGATTTAACCTGAGCCAGGGTGAGTCTAACCACCCGTCAATTGCCTTTATAGAAAACACTTTGGGTTCTGACTATTGGTTGCCCCTTTGTTTTTTTGAGGTCCTTGAGTCTGTCTTGTGCTGAACTTCATGGAAGGCACAGGAAATGTATCCCTAAAGCAGCCTCAGCATCAAAGACGTTTCTGTGAAAACACCCCTCTCCACTACCACAGAACTGTTTATTTTTTCAATTAACAAAGGATAAGGTGGTCCACTGGGGAATTTTGGCTTGAAGCCCCAGAATTTAAATATGTATGCAAAGTAGGGGGTTAAAAAGACCTTAGATTAATCCAGTTTTTACAACACCTGGGGCTGTGGTGGGGATGGGGGCAGTTAATTTAAGCACTAACTTTTGAAGGAGCAATTCTCTCCCACTTTGGCTGCCTGGTCTCAGGCCACAGGGGTAGGCTTTAAGTATTTCACCTAACTACACTCAGGGGACAAGCATAGGACCCTCGTTGGCATGCCTTGGTATCTATTCACATTCTTCTGTTTTGCTTTGTCTCTATCCCTGGACAAATGGCACCTTATTATCTAACTTGAGCCTTCACATTCAGCCTTCAAGACCCAGTCCATGTTTTGAATTAAGGAAGAATGAGCCTCAGCATGAGCCCTGGGGAATCTGGGTTAGGTGATCCAAGCCCCCCTCGGGTTAGACGGAATGCAGTACTTTTCTTCTTTTCCCTGCTAGTGGGTCTATTGAGTTTCAAAAGAGATCAAGCACATATTTAGAAATTCTCTAAATTCTGTAGCTCTGCTATGCAAAATTTTCTATCGAAGAAATTCTCAAAAAGAAAGGGAAGGGGGGTCTCATCAGGATCTACTAAGGTTGCTCAAGAGGGTACAGTAAGAGGCCACATGCTGAAAACATTGCTTTTTGTTTCCTTCCTTACCTTATTTCCTCCAGTCTGAAAGTACAGATGTTTGAAACTCGTCCAGGAGTGGAGATTACCAATGACCAGCCTGATCCTGGGAGAGGCTGGACTTCTACTACCTTTGGCAGAGAGCCCCAATATGATTTTTAAAGTTTACTCTCAAACCAGTGGAACTGGGAAATATTGACAACACTTAGCCGTTTGTTGACTTGAATATGTGAAGTCTTGCAGAGGAGCTATTTCTTTTCATTGTGGCATCAATATAATTTATAGTGGATGGCATTCTGTCCCTGATTTTGTCTCCTTCCCTCCCTTCCTCCACCCTATTTACATTCACTTGAAAGAAAAGTCTTTTGAAAAGCAGGTGAGTCATGATCTGAGCATCTATGAACAAACTGTGACTCTTCTTAGGACACAGGACACCTCTTTCCTGGGCATTGCGCATTCATATTTATGTAATAAAACTTAAAAATATGCAGGATGCAAAAGCCTTCTGGCTGAAAGTTGTTTAGAGTTTGCACAACCCATATAATATCAACCACCTCCAGAAGAGGATTTCTATCTCAGCTCGTAGAATCCACTAACACGTGGGCCAACCTTGGGCAAAATTGAGAAGCTGGAAAACTTGGTTTGCTTCCCTCAGCCCCTCCACTTCTCAGCGAGTGTCTTGATGTCTTCTCCTCTCCCTGCATCTCTTGCTGTGCCCTCAAACCTACCCATCCTCGTGTTAGGTAAGGCTGGGTTTAGTTTAACATGTTAATGTCCCTCTGCATTTAAATCCTATATTTAATTATAAAAGGAAAGGGTCTGTCCTTTTAAAGGCATTGTGGGGGACCTAAGCGGGGATGTAGGCCACAGAAAAGAAACTTCTCAAGGAACTTTGACCAAGAGAAACACCATCTGAAAATGCCTAAGCTAACAAAACTGAGTTTAGGACATCTGCGTTTGGCCCATTCTCATTAACCACCACGTCCCTGGAGACTGGTTTTCCTCCTAATATGGTGAAATATGCCAAAAGCAAGTAAATTCTCCTGTGGGATTTAAAGGATTTAACTGAATCACATGGAAAGTTACCAGATTCTCTGAGTGATTTATGTGGTAGAAGCATGGTTCTATTTGGATGAACTTTTTGCTGTCTCACAGAAAAAAGAAAGTAAAATATTCAATATATACTCACCAAGTGGTTCCAAGAGCCTTGCCTTGAAAAAAAGAAAAAAGACATAGCCTTTTTCAAAAGTTAGTTTAGAAGTATTAAAAAATCATATTTTTATAGTAACAGTTATCACATTGCCAATATTTTTCCATCAGCACTGTAAATAAAGTAACATTTTTCTTGTGAGTACACCATTTAATTGCTCATAAGTAAGAAAAGGGTGTGTAAGTGTGGTCTTAATGGAAGTGTTAACACACTGGTTAGAAATGTGAAGTCCCTTAAAGTTATACAAAAAACCTTAAACACATGAGATAAATTTTAGAAGCTGTTAACCACATGGAGATGCTGGGTTCCAGACACATGCTCTCGGTCCCTCAAAAATCTATAGCATCTCTTCAAAATTGAAGTTCAGTTCCACTTAGAAAGGCATTATTTCCATTCTCAGCCCTATTTTAAAATGAAACAGGAGAAGTGTATATTCTACACTTCTGTTCACATCGCAGTGACCCTAAAAAAGTCCACAGAAAGTACACTTCCCAATCAAATGTTTAGTTACCATTGACTGGGAAGACCCCAGTGAGAGCATGACATTTTTCAATGATTGCAGCAAAATATATTGCTAGGGAATCCAGAAAAAATACACAACTAAAGTCTTGCTTTTCAAAAGCATCTTCAACCAGAGAGGCAAGAATTATTAAAGAATGTTTCATTATAATAAAGAAAAGAATGACCTGTTTCTAAAAAGAATGGAATTATGGGGATCCAAATGGAATTCAAGAAATCCTGGTTGCATCCTGGACTCCAGTATTTTAGATGCATTTGGGAATGCTGTGGGATCACTCTGAATTTGCCTTTTCTCTATATTCTACCCAACAAGTTTATATTCAGCAGTATCCCTCACTGTGAAAATTACCAGTGGTTCAAGGAGGAAATTTGGGGGTTTATATAAAGTAAGTGATGAATCTTCTTGGCTTAGAAATGTGGTTCTTAAAATATTAGGCTTATAGATCATTTTGAGAAACTTATTAAAGTCAAGTAAAAGAAAACATACATACCACATACACATTGCATTTTGCATTCAGTTCCAGGTCTAGAATAATAATAAGCTTCAGGTCTAGAATGTCATTATAGGAAGATTTCCATTTAGGTCTGCTTTAAAAATATCCATAATAGGTCGGAGGAAAGAAATAGGATTCTGACCTTGGGCAGCAATATAATTCCTTTTACTAGTGACCAATTAATCCAACTCTTCAGAGTAACATTTAATCTTTCTTTTAAGTGGTTTCTAAAAAGGAACAACAGAAATGGCACTACTAAGAACTTTACAGAACTGGAAGTAGTATCAAAGTGGCTCAAAACCAAATAAATATAATGTAAGATACACCAAATTCAAGTTTTAAAGCTATTCAAGCCAGGGAAGCAAAGGAGAAAATGCTGATTATTTGGGGGAGAAACGGTAGAAGGGAGGGGGTAGAAAGGGAAGACCAGATGTTCAGTTTTCAACATCAATGTTTCTGAAGCCAAGAATATATTGCTGACCCAGGCATGATAAAATGTGCAGGGATTTCCAGCAATCCACAGTCAGCTGACCTGCTAAGGAGAAAAACAACAATTTTAAAATAATAAAGTTAGGCTGTAAATATAATTTTCTTATCTGGGGTTCTGGTTATTTATACCTCAAAGTGAATAGCTGCATAAAGATCTTATTGTTTCTCACTGGAACAAGCTTGAAGCCCAGGGAATGCCTTGACTTCATGAGATTATGAAAAAAAAATGTTGTATTTTTATGTGACAGGTTGACATGGATTTTATTCAATAGACAATCTGACATTTATCAAGATGCTTTCAATTACACCAAAAGAAATAAAAGTCTTCATCTTATTGCTGTTTATGTGGCAGCATTATTCTTCTACATTGAGTTGATGGAAATGAATTGTTTTGCTTTTCATTTTAGCCATTTTACAAGTTTGCTATCGTAGTTGCTGTTTTTAGAATAAAATGATTTTACCAATAACATTGAGTGGCTATACCTCTTCTTAATAATGGGAAATTTTATAAATTTGGCTGCTTAATAACATGATTTAGAAGTTTGCACTCTGCTCACTTTTAATTTGACCTTACAATTACCAAGATGAATAAAAATGACTTTTATAAGGACATGAATCCAACTGAAACTTCACAAGATTGGAATTATTTAATTTTTGAAAGTTGTGTTCCATCCAAAAGCCTTCTGTGGTTTGTGTACCCCAAGAATAATTTTCTATCCAAGTCATATTTGAATAAAGTAAAGGATAACAATATGTCCTATGTTTCCAAGAAACCTAATCTTGTGCAGGGGTGAGAGTCCATCATTTTGTCTTCTGCCACCCTTTACACAATGCAGGCTCATAGGAGATTTGTTTGAGAGTTCATCTACACAAAGATGATTTTATTGCATTAGCCAAGTCACCCAGCAAAAATTGTCAATTTTATGTCAGGTTTTAAAGATTACATCCTGAATAAGTATATTTTCTTTCTTGTCAAAATATGCAGTTTATGGTTTCCAATATGAAAGAGAGAGTAGGTTATTTTCAGTATAAGTAATCCTGTTGTTCTTTTTTCCTCCTGTACTCAAGACAAACAAAAATTTGAGGGCTATTTTCTTAGAAAAAAATGACCTCAATGTCAACTGTCTTCTCCAGCTATAATTTTGGCAACTCGGTAACTACCTGGTGACTTTGTGTTGTCCCTTATTGTGGATTTAAACATTTTGTAATCAGAAAATACTCAACTTTTCAAGTCTTGGGACTATTTTTTTTTTTTTTAGTTTAACCTGTTCTGCCTCTCTATAAGCCATATATGGAAATAAGACGTGTAAAACTGGTAAGATAAATGTAAAGATCAGAGATCATAGGAAACTCTACTGAGAAATAAAATTATTTTTAATAGAAATTTTTAAAAATATAGTTTGGTGTCTTGGGCAAAGAGAGTAGCATTACTTGTTATTTTGTCTGTAATTTACTTTAAAATATTTCAACATAAACTTCAAGGTGATAAATACTTGCATTAATTTGCTTCTGTACCTAAAATAGAGGGTGGTTGGTTAACATTTGAAAGACTCTAATCAAGAGTCCATGGGAAGTTATTATAAGGTGTGGTAGGCAGTCTCCCAGTGTTTCCACCCTTGTGCAGTATTCCTCTCCCCTTGAGTATGGGCTGGACCAAGCAATTTGATTGAACAAATAGAATATAGCAAAAGTGTGGAGATGTTCTGAGAGATCAGGTTATAAAAGACTGTAACTTCCATCTTACTAGCACTCTGTCTCTCGCCTTCCTTGGAAGCTGATCCTTCTGCGTTGAGCCGTGAGATGACTATGAACCCAGCTGACGCCTTGATTGCAGCTTGTGAAATACCCCAAAGCAGAGGACCCTGATAAATTGTGTTTGGATTTCTGGCCCACAGAAACTGAGATTACAAAAGTTGTTTTAAGCCATTAGGGTTAGGGGTAATTTTTTATGCGACAACAATAGATAACTAATACACAAGAGCTACAGGGATCACGTTTTCATCTATACTAGTTGATCTAACAGTAGGTGAATTATATGGTATGTGAATTATACCTCAATAAAACTGTTTAAAGATTTATATCAGGACTTTTGTTAAATAGCATAAATAATATTAGAAATGCATACATTTGTGAAATGAGTGGTGTATAAAATATGTGAGTTAACTAGAAATAATGGACAGCAGAGTACCTCTGTTTTTGCATGAGAGGCATAGGAATGTGGAAAGCCCAGAGACTTGTACTCTCCCAAGTGGTACCCTAGGCCCAAGACTCTCATTCAGTTTTAGATTTGACCATAACATCGAGGGATTATGTGACTTGATTGGACTCAGGTTAGCTAAGATCTACTGTTAGAGCACAGTGGCCTTTGCCCCAAGTAAAACCCTCAAGCAAGCTACTTCTCAGGGAGTTCGAAGAATGCAGTGATGCCTCCCTGAACTTACATGAGCAGATTCTGTGATATTTTTGTGCCTATATGTTAATAATTGCTTGTTCATGAGGCAGAATTTGGTCAGAGACTTGATTTCATTGTAACATATGATCTACTGTTGAGGGTATGAGAGACTTGCAGCTCTCAATAGAGGCTAAAGAAATCAACGAAAAAGAAGTGGACAATTGTGAATGACCAAGCTGACTCAAGCCATTCTGCAACAGAACTGATGAGACAAGAAGTCGATGCATAAGACAACTGACTGCATCCCTTGCAAGGTAAGTGTGTCCCTTAGCGTTTGTCTTTGTTGTGGCAAAATAATTAAACTGACCCCTCAGCCCAGCCACCAGTTAATTTAAGCAATGTTAGAGGCACAACAGTACCAGTCATTCTCTCAAAGACCTTTTATGGTATCTTATTTCCCAAGAACTAAGTCCAAGTCCTTTGTCTTGAATACAAAGGTCTTACAACTTTTGTTTTCTACTCTCCATCATACACTAAATTGAACAACTTTGGGAAATTGAACAGTTGTTGTATTTTCTTGCTTCCTTATTTTTGCTCATTTAATTCCATCCATCTGAATGATCTTCCCATCCATTAGCTTTGGACAAATAGTGTTTAATGTATTTCAGGCCCTTGAGTACAAAGATAAACAAGGCACAGTCTTGTCCCATAAGAATCTTATTTAGTGTGTGAGTGTCTGAGTTGGCCATATCAACAAGCAATTCCAATAAAATTTGGTGAGTGATTTGATAAATTTCTATGGGTAGATTAACTATGGTCACCAATTCTTTGTGGCTTCTCTTACATAGTAAAGGATTCTCTCTCACCTCCTTGGGCCTGGGCTGTCCCTGTGTCTTGCTTTGACCTACAGAATTCAGTGGAAGTGACACTGTTGTCATTTCTGAGCCTTGGCCTCTAGAGGTCTTGCCAGCTTCTGCCCTCCCTCTTGGATCCCAGCTGCCATATCAGGACACCCAGTGAAGTGGACTGGATAATGAGAGGAGAGAATGGAAGTGGCTCAGCTGATGACAGCACAGTATTAATCATGTTTTGTATTTTCTGTATTGTTATGATGTTTGGACATCTTGCAGGTCTTTCAGACCTGGGGAGATACTGCCCCTTGCAGAGCTAGCTAACTTCTGGGGGTGCTGGCCTTTCATGTAGAGGCTGCTCGGCCCAGTGCTGTCCCCCAACACCCTTCACCTAACTCCCACACACCAAGCCAATATCTCCCCCGTCCTAAATCAACCCAGGGCCAGGTATCAGACAAACAGGGACAGTCTTCATGTTTCAAAGCCCCCCAGAATTATTCAAATAAGATGATTCCAAGCTTTGACTCTGTTTTGCCTTGTCTTTTTGCAAAAATCTCAATAAAATCTCAGGTCTAGGCTTCCCCCTTACTCTTATTTCTGCCTCTAAATCAAAACCTAGTTCTTCGCCACGTGGCCCTGCGTGATTTGATGTGACCCCTTCTCTGGGGAAATGTAAGTAGCAAAAATCTTCTCTCAAGGTCCTTAACCTCTCCATGTTGTCACTCAGTCTCTTCTGTAAATTAAAACCCTGTGGGTACAAATTTTAGAACCAGCACCAATTGGTTGGGGGGCTATCCAGCCTCAGTCAAACCTTCAGATAATCATAGCCATGGGAATGATCTCAGGTGAAACTAGCAGAACT